TTTTTTCGACATTCTATAAAATTGAATATAACAAAACAAAAAATATACATAACAAAAAGTAAAAGGGAAAACAAGTAGTGCAATGAAGGAAATTAGGAAGTGCCAACCAAATCTACAGAACAAATTTGCTATAAACAACAAAGCCAGCCGAAAAGAACCTAAATAAGAGGAGCAAATCATTCTCCTTCTCCAAATCCGAAACTGAAACAAATACAAAATATTGGCAAATTCCAAATCTTAATCTGAATCCCGGAGGCGATCTTGAGGCAGGGCAGCGGCACTCTGAAGGGAGTGACCGGAGCTCCGACATGACAAAGGATATGGAAGCAATCAAATCAGGTAAGTTGCAGTTCAAGACGACGTTGCGAACTGAGCAGCGAGTGAAGAAGAAGAAATGGTGGAAGGATCCTGAAGCCAAGAGGCAGCGCCGCGTCGCCAAATATAAATTCTACACCGTCGAAGGGAAGCTCAAAAGTTCTCTCAACAAAGGCTTTAAATGGATCAAGAACAAGTGCGCCAAAATCTTCTCTGACTTTTAAAAACTACACCCTTGTTGAATGTTTTCTTTATATATATTCATCTCACATCCAAAAAAGAATTCTTTTCTTTTTCTTTTTGAAAGAATTGGGAAAGACGACATGTTTCACTTGAAACATCATTAAAAATCTTGTTTCGTAACGTCTCTCAACTCTGGTTATAGCGTGTCTATAACCTATATGATACATATATGTTGATCTCATATAGAAAAAATGACACATCCCCGTACACTATCTTTCTATGATATAACCTATATGACATATATGTTCATCTCATATAGAAAAAAAATGTTCTTTTAAGAAAAAATGATGCAATTTAAAACTGGATAAATTTTTTAGTTTGTGGGTGTGATTTTAGTTTGTAGGTTTGTAATTTATAAAAATAAAGTTAAAAACATATTTGGTTCTTGTATTTTTGCAAAAGTAACTATCTAGTGTTTGAATTATAACCATTAATGTTTAATTATTTTTTAGATAATATTTTAAAAATAAATTTATTTTACTAAAATTGAACTTTACATTAAAATTTTAAATGTTAATATTGATGGAAATGTCAAAATCCCAATTTCATGGAGATATCGATAAAAATATTGATAAAATGTCGATATCGATAGATATTTTTGGAAGTATTATAAAAATAAAAAATTTGAAATAAATATTTAAATTAACAAATAAGTATTTCATAATTTTTAAATAAGTTTAAAATAATTAATATTTTGTGTAAGTGAACTAAAATAAACCAAAATAGACATTTTAGAAGTAGAGGGACCCAAAATAGTATTTTAACCATAAAAAAAAGCCAATAAATTAGTAATAAGCCACCTTACTTTTTAAAATCCTAATATCAAGAACAAAATTACACCTCTAAAAGTCCAACAATTGAAGATTGAACAAATTGATTAATCTATTTTTAGCAATTTTCTTGATCTTTATTTTCCCCACTCTTCCCATGCGAAAGGAAATTATATAGGGAATGAGATCATTAACACAGAAACCCTCCTGCATGCATCCATAATCACATAAGCAACCATGTTTGATTATTTACATAATACTTTTAATGGAAAAAAACAAGGAATTGGAACATTACCATATAATTCTGATCTAAATGAACCTGTACAATAAGGGCAGAAGTGTACCATATCAGGATCCTAACAAGTTGGTTGCAACTTCTGGTTCCTTTATGCTTTTGCTTTTTTTCTTTTTCGGTTTCGGTTTTGTGGCTTTATCCGTGTGAGAGACCTACAAATTAATCCATAGTAAAGAAAACACGATAAGATAAGAGGATGACTTGTCAAAATTGCTCCTGAAGAGGATCCAAAATTTTCAAATTTTTCCAACTGATAACAAATCTAAGAACAGTACACTTACAATAAAGGATTTCCACTCGAGTCTTTTTTCCCCCTCTGTGGTCAAAGATGACTGCGACTGATCTCGAACATGTCGGAAGATATGGACGAGCACGACAGCATCAAGAGCCGCATATTCTAGCTGCTCAACAATACTACTTTATTTTAATGAATGATTTATTTCATGTCTTGGGAAGAGGAATTAAAAGAATCATTAAAATCTACAAGAAAAAACAACACGAGACAATTGGGTGTATGAGATAATTTCACCTCCTTTAAAAATTCATGAATTTCCTTACTATAATGTGGAAAAAGGAGAAAAAAAAAAGAAACATATTCCTCGGTCATTTCTCTTCTGTAATCTGCATAGAACTTGGAAAACTTCAAAAGATGTCAAAAGACAAAACAATCGGTAGGAGGCGGAGTAATCATTTTCCAATATTCTTATTATGAGGATAAATAAGTTCTCAAGAACTGTTGATGTGAGAGAAGAAACTACCATATTTGCGTATTGTAAATTAAATAATGATTCGCCAGTGACCACTCATCTGACGATGTTCAATAGATTTAAAGAAAGTGTATATTTTGGGTTTAAATTCCCTTACCCCATTTTTACCTTTTCTCAACAATAATAACAAAAGATCCAAATACACTATTGTTAGAGTTATTCTTCTATATTTCGCTCCTCAGTATCATAACAAATATATAAATACACGAAATTCATGCACTTGCTGCTGCTTCAGTCACTTCCTCCCCATCCAAAGACAAAAGATAAACGAATGTAAGATATCAGAAAAGAAATTGACCTGATTCACTGTTAAGGGGCGCTGTTCCCAGTCACTATTTCTTCTTGTCTTGTTCAATCCAGCTCCCAAGATTTTCTGGAACAATTATCACATAAAAGAAATAATAGATTCAATTCTGAAGTTGATTTGTGATATATTATATATAATTCTTATAAAACACACGAAGCCATTTCATTACTGAGCAAGTGTAAAAGAGAAACCCAAAAAAAGAATCTACCAAATAGTCCTGGAGCTTGGCCTACCTAATCTTCTATCTCCCTAGTCATATACAGAGGATCTCCTCAGAGATTCGTGCCTTTGTTCTGGCTATAAGCCATTAGCAATCTGAAGTTTAATAATGGCTTTCAACGTGTTCATGAAAGTAAAGACTATAAATAGGAAAAGTGATAGAAAGAGAACTAAATTGAGGCAACGAGATACTCCCAGAATCTATTGAACTCCTAGATTTATCCTAAAACAGAAAGGGTTTTGTATCCAAGTTATTAAATTTCTGTATTGACATTTCCATGTCTATGTAATTGACATCAATATAAAGGGTGAACTCACAGTCCCATACTGTCTGCAAAAAATTTGACAAAAAATAAATCAATACCAATAAAATATCACTAATATGAATATAATATTAATAAGAGTTTTCAACTCATAATATAAATCAATATCAATAAAATATCACTAATGTGAACATAATATTAATAAGAGTTTTTAACTCATTAAAGAAAGGGTAAAATATTTAGTTGTTAATTAAAATATTTGATTTTGTGAATTTCTTGATTTTTATAATTTTTCTAAGAACATTCATCATCAGCTGCATTTTATCATTAATTCCATCTACAATTCTACAAAATTGAGAACTCGATATTTCCGTCAACATCGACTTGCAAAACCTTGATGATACTAGGAGTGGCTCATAGCATGAGAAACACCAATTAGGTACCATTTCAAATTCCAGGAAGAAGAAACTTTATTGTATTTGCAGTTACGTTACCTTCGCCAGCCCAGATAGACCTCCACGATGCTCTTTAAATACACTTTGAATGTCCAGTAACATCTCATAGCGTTTGAAACACTGTAATGGTTCATATGAATGGGACAGTTGCTTTGTGTCACATTGAAAATTGTAACCTACAAAGGCAAGAAAGCATTTACTCAAAAATTAGCAATCCTAGAAAAGAAAAGGGAGCTGTTACATGCAAACATAGATGCAGCAGCAATACAGTCACATTTATAAGACATCATATTGTGTATTGTTTATTAATATATACATACGAAGGTACAGACATCACTTACCGAGCTTCAAAATACTAGAAGACTGTAAGATGCGGGTCAGGCAATTATCCAGGATGTCGGGGACATCGTTGTATAACTTTATCAAGTCGAAGACAAAAACCATTTTCTCCGAAGCAATTTGCATAATAGATACCTGAACATAAATGTGGTGAAACCAAAGGGAAAAGTTCTCACAATATAAAATCAAGAGATGCGTAAACATAAAGCGACACATCAATTCTTTTCTCAAAAACAGGACAGGTAAAACACTATAAATATTCTAAGAAAGTTAATAACTACAGTTTGGATGGCAGCAAGGCAACTACCAAAATTTTCAAATTACTATGCATCCTACCAATTTAAGATTACCAATAAAAATTCTGATTCTGAAGATTTTTTATTTTTATTTTTTTGCCTAAGAAGCAATTTCATAGATAATATGAGATTACAAAAAGGATGGGAGTAAAGCCAAGCTCAAAGCCAGAAGTTACATAACAACTCTTTCAATTAGATTGTGAGTGTAAGTATTATAAGGAGCATAGAATTTATGCCATGGAGGGCTACAAAAATTATATGATCCAAGATGCTCCCCAAAGACTTATCTGTATTGTTGAAAACCTTATTATTCCTTTTGATTCAAAGTAGCAAAATAACAGGTGCCTTATTTCACTGTTCTTATGAGATTTAAAAAAAAAAAAGGGTGGTGCAGATACGGATACGAGAAGGAATCAGAGGAGAAAAGCACTAACAGAGAGTAGCAAGAATTTATCAAAGATACCTTGTTCGGTTTGCTGCCCTTTATATGGTTAGGTTTCCACTCACAATCAACACCCACAACTTTACACTCGTCAATATGGCATATTGCGCGATGTAGATCATCGGCTTTATCAACCCATAATATATCTCCAGAAATTAGTTGATTAAGGTTCAAATAGTGATTCTGTCCAAAAACTTTCTCACGTTCTACAGAAAACCAGTATGCACGTTAGGTTAGCCAATATAAATCAGCCAAGGTAAAGTTTTATGCAATACAAATAAAATTTAACTGCAGTAATTCAAAGCTCCATATAACTAATGACCAAGAGCAGTGAAGCTATATAATGTTTAATGTACAGGAATCAATATTTGGTCCTAATGGAAACCATCCTAGGTTACCCAAAGATAATTTACAACTGAATCGATGGTAACATCTGTTATTTAAAGGCTGGATCATGGGGATGGAACAAAAGATAATTTACAACTCTTCAATAAAGGTGGGATAATTAACTGCTCAAAGTATCCCTTGAAAATTTAATGAAAATCAAGGTTGTCTTGTCACAAAGACTTGACGAAGAGTAACCTCTAGGTCAATTAAAGATTTTAACCTGAGAATATTGATCATCTTTCTTCTAGAGCTTATTGGTAATAAGGCATGGATTAGGCTAAGGCTACAAGGTAGTTCACAGTCCTCACTTCTAAGTACACGTCTGATATGTGATATTGATTTTGTTAAAGCAGGAGATAACGGTCAGACATTCACAATGAAAATCTAAGTGATCAAGATAATATAGTACAGATGGCATACCTTTGATATTCGAAAAACCTGTAAGGGAGTACCTATTGCAAAGTTCATCAACCTTTTCGAAGTAACCAGCCTCCAATGCCAAGTAAACCTTAAAACACATCATGCTTAGGTAAAAATACGAGGACTATAAGCTTTGAAATTATTTGTTCAAACCCAATCAAATATTCAAAAGTTTGTTTAACGAAGTATATATAATCCTAAAGAATCTTCAAGATATGAGTATGTATCCACAGGCTACCCACCAGATATTCAAGAAATTGTCTATTGCTGTTTGTTTTTGCCTCAGCGACATCCCAGCATCCTTTTTCCGCTAATTTCTTCAAGGAGCTAGGGGTAGAATCATATGTTATTCATAAACTTTTCAGTCGATGAAACATAGACCAATACCAAAAGCACAAGAAAAATGAGTTTAAAGAAAAAAAACACAGCATAGGGATCATCAAAATACCTTTCTTTACACTTCTGATAGACATCAGGGTGTTCCTTCTGAAGATCATTTTTCTTTATAATGCCATACGCACTTTTTACCTTGTTTCTATCTAACAACTCCTGGACAAGCAGACATAACATTGGCTTTCCCATAAATGTGGCCCATTTATCAGCTGCTTTGAATTCATTTTTCTCTAACATGCTATAGAGAAGAGACTCCCCAGACTGGTAAATAGAAAAATGCTCTAGCAGATCGACTGCTGTCACGTAAGACTGAGATTCTATTAACTCAGAAACATATCGTTCAACAAAGTCTTTGGCTGAACCAGAGAAACACCTATTTTTCGCCTTTGATTCATGCAGAACTTTCTCAATGTTGGTCAATTGAACATCAAATACCTGTAAAATCTTAACAATTATCCTCTCATCATGCTCAATGAATCCTTCAACAATATCCATAAATAACTGAGCAGCTAGGTCCTTTGCCTTGTCAAGGTCCGCCGAGGTTATCACTACTTTCAGAAAACGTTGAAGAGCTGATGTAATCAAGTGACTGAATCCCTCACTATATATCCCAAATATAGGCAAGACATATAGGCAATGAATAACAAATGTAGCTGGTCCAGGTCTGGGACCATTATGAAGTACTAGATGAACTTGTTGCTGAAGAAATCGAAACTTCTTAGTTGCTTTCAACGTGCCTAAATTTGCACTCCATGACAATAAAATGGAGAAAATAAATAAATTGAATGAAGATAAATCAGAATAACTCCTATACGGGTATGACAAAAAAAACTACGTACTTAATGAGCATGAGCTCTAAAAAGATACCTGCTTGATGAGCTCTAAATCTTGAACTAGTAATCTTATGTTTGGCAAAGGTATACAACATAAAGAATGACATATCAAGTGAAATATATAGGCAACACCCTTTGAACACAGGAAAGAGAGTATTTGACATAACTTGAAGAATACTTGTTGTGCACAAACAAGAATACTTGTTGAGCACAAACAAGAAAGTCGTTCTTAGAAAGTGAAGAGCAAAGTGAGTCAAATTATATCAAATTCACATACAAAATTACAAATCAATTGGAAGACTTTCCAGTTTCCTCCTCTTTTGTATATTTCGTTCAAAAATTAAAATCTTTTATCTTCTCCATAAAACAAAGGTTCACATATGAATCAAAACAAGATAAGCTTCGCAGTTCATACACTAGACAAAAATTTAAATGATAAATATAGACAAACATGACCAAATAAGGAGTGCAACAACACAACAGAGCTTCTACATACATCATAAGAAGCGGAAGGGGAGACATACCACGAACATAACATTCTTTTAGGAGGTATAAGAATACGACAGGGGATATATAAGATAGATCAGAAAGGGAATGCACAGTAATGTTCCACGCTAGATGAGTTTGATCTATAGGGTCAAGTGGTTCAGCAACACTTTGATCGAATCCCATGCCAATTGACAAAATGATGACCCTAAAAAATTAAGAAGAAAAAGAAACTTGAATAGAGAATGAGGATGGCAATGATTAAAACAAAATAGTAATAATATATGCACTGGTCCCACTAAAATCTCTTAATCAAAGGCAAGGAGTGACTGGTGCTATTTAAAAAGTCAACTTCAAAATGCCACAAGATGATCTCAGGGAGCTATAGCAATCCAAGTTACTACAATATTTTTAAAAAGGAAAGGACAGAACGAGAAATAGAAGTCCGAGATGGTGCAGACTACAATTATTTAAAATTGAAAAATGCAAGCAAGGCCTATGCTAGAGGGCTCGTAAAGCAAAGTACATGTGCCAAAGTTGGAAACTGGGATGATTATTCGTGATATAGACAGCATAAGTTCTTGTTTTTTAGAAGTATCATAATGGTGAGACTAGTAAGAAAATGAGAAATCAAACTTTCGTGGAGAAAGATGAAAGAAAACAAAAGAACAAGCCACAACTTTCAATGAGAAAATGGGTCAACTTATTTTATTAATTTCAATGTTAACTGCAATCGGATAACAAAGCCATTACATTACTTATAGGCCTATTAAGGGATGTATTTCATCTGTAAACTTCCAATCATCATAAATAGCAAACCACGTGGAAAGATTCATGCAACAAGGGGTCTTAGACTAGGAGATCACCTCTCTCCCAATCTCTTTATTTTGGTTACTGATTGTTTCAGTAGAATCTTATCTCTTGCATCTTATATAGCCTTAGTTCGATAAGGCTTTTCCCTAACTATCCGTCTTGCCTTCAGTCACCTTCTAAACTTGTCTGTCTGTCATGTGCCTCCTAAACACTGTTGTTTCTCTTGAAATCTGCTTTTAAGAAT